AACGACTCTACTTAGCATACGAATAGCCTAGCTAGCATATGCAAAGGCGCTTTAGCAGACCAACATGGATTCTCAGTCATTGGATGAAAAACAATGACGTCACAATTAATCGCTGACGCGTGATTGGTTGGTTGATGTGTCCCCCATTGAACAGCACATATGTCTTCTGAATGAAAACGTATAAAATGTTGAAAAAGTTCTGAGATTGAGGTAAAGGTTCACCTTCAATTAAGCGGCGCGACTTAATTGAAAGTATTTCCACGTGGCTAAAATGGCCAAGTCAAAGTCACATCCTGAATCTGTTGCAAGACCATAAAAGTACTGTTTGCAAACTCTCTCCATTCAGTCTGATCAGGCTTGAACGGCTTAGCAAAAAGTAATGGAGAACATTTGAGTGTGCAGTGATGCAGACATACCACCAAAAGATTTCTAGCTGTTTTTGCACCGAAAGGTGGCTTAGTAAAGCACTGATTGAATCTGTGCATTGAATATGAATGGACAGAATTTAAAGATTTGTGGGTTTTTTTAAGAAACTTTGAAATCTAGGTGTAAACTTTGCTCCCGCTTCCACTGATTTATGCTAGCTTTTGCCAACAAAATCCCTGAGTTTATGACTGTGACAAGAAAAAAGTGGAAAAGATTAAGAAACAAAAAAAACAAAAAAAAACAAGGCACTTTATTGCTGAGGAATGAAAACAACAACAAAGGTAGAGGGCCTTTGTTTCCATGCAGTCGCATAGAAACAGTGACACATGGAGAGATTTTTGCTGCATCAATGAAAAGCAGACAACATTAGACTTGAAAGCATAAAGCAGCAAAAAATGGATTTACTATCCCACCTAAACATCGGTTTGGGCGAAGACAACATGGACGACAATAATCGAGCGGAACATTTTATGAAAACTTTGGTGGCAGAGTAAAAGCGCAGGTGAATAAGGAGCGAATATTGATTTTTTTGAGAGATGCATCACAGAGGGCAGCGAGAACATCAGCGTGTGGCTGATCAGCCACATAGCAACCAAGAAAGGAGAGTAAATTAGCTTCCTGTGCAAGTGCCCAAAAAGCAGCAGTTGTGACGAGCAGGGAATGATGAACAACTGTTTTGTGGGTAGCTTTTATTTATCCGAATGCGTGCTTGTCACGGAGAATGGCTGATTTGCGTCCTAATCAAAGCAGTTAAGGGTGGACAATGTGATGTGCACATAGACTGATGATTAATGAAACAGATGCAAACGCCACATTTCCCATGGCCCTGTTGAAAAAAATAAAATTAAATAATAGAGCATAAGGAGAAGGAAACATGCAAAAAAAATACCTTCATCCCTTGGTCTGTTCATCGTGGACTCATCATTTTTTTTTGTGAGCGGACCTGAAGTTTGGAAAAAGGAGACAAAAGACAAAATTTCAAAAAGACAAGAAGGAAAGCAGCGTGATCTAAATTCACCTCAGTTGCTGTGTACAAACGTTAATGAATTTTCCCATAAAACAAGACCCAATGTTGCTTCTTGACGTAGGCAGTACGACACTGTGCCCAGGGTGGCACTGCCTCAGGGGCGGTACAGATAATAGGAAAAAAACGTTATAATTTCCCCTAAAACAGCCTTCTGTTCTTTTATTTCATGTTTAGTTTATTGGATGCTCCTTTATGTTGTGCATATTGTAAGTATGTTTAAGAAGATTCTGCACATTCACTACAGCTGGGTAATATAAACTTATCAAATGTGTTACAGGTGGAGAATTAAAAACTATTTCTCTTAACCTAAATCACTAGTTTTGAGTTCTGGTTGAAAATTTAAAGGGCCAGTAGTGTATTTTCTAGGTACTTGTTTTTTTTTTAAATTGGTATATATATATATATATATATATATATATATATATATATATATATATATATATATATACACACACACACTTACACTTACAATATGCACAACATAAAGGTAACCTTAAAAAATTTTAAGGCATGTACTTTAAATTTCAATGCTTTTTAAAGCATTGAAATTGGGCTTCTGTCTCTTTAAGAAACTCATACTCTTTTCTAGTTAGTATTTTTATTTCATTTTACTTTATTTTTTGCTTGGGTGGGTAGTGGACTGAATTGGGAAGCATAAGAAGGGTCTCACTTATGACACCATGACCTCGCGCTCATTTGTTTTAACTGCTTAGTAAATGAACCCAGTGGCTTCTTCTTGTTAACCCTTTTCCTCAATCAAATTAGAGTTATTGCTTTTATTGTATAACCCAAACCCTCCAAAAAAAAAAAAGAACAAAACAATTGGCAGAAGCAAGCAATCTCGGGAAGAAGCAAACGCCCGCCAAGATGCTGCACGTTCCACACTGACTTAAACCAAAACACTCCTCTGACTAAAATCAATAAATGCTGAACATATTGGATAGCTTAATTTCGCGCTGCAACAAATGCCATCCTGAAAGGGAACTTCGAGAAATTGTGAAGGAACCGCCGAACAGTGGGCCGGTTTTGATATGAACACACCCTGCTAAGCCTTTTGACAAGATTTCCCACATCAAGGTCAAAGAGGAGCCTCGAATTAAGCTTTAATGGTAACAACAGTTAACTGCTCCATAGGGCAAAGCCAGTAACAAGCATTTATCGCAGTGACCAACCAATGCCCTGCTGTGTCAACCTCTGTTAGCCCTAAGTGATAAAGATCCTATTAGGGTTTTTTTTGGGTTGGTTTCAGTCAGAGGCGATTTCCATCAGCAAACAATTAAGCCACTGCGTTTTGTGTCATGCTCAGCTACTGTCCACATGACATGTAAAGGTCATTAAACCCATCTGTGCTTCATACACATCTAATGTTGACACGACTGTGGACGGGAATGCGCGACATGGCGGAGCTGCGGAGGTACCTGGCAAAAAGTATTCACACCATTTGAACTTTTATCACTCAAGAAAACACAACTTCAGTGCACTTTGTTGGGGTTTTACGCGACACAACGTAGTACATAACTATGAAGAGGTGTGTTAGAGATAGGCGGACAGGCAGCGTCATGAATGCTAAGGAATATGGCGGACAGATCAGGGATGATGGCGCCACAAAGCCATAAAGTCTAAAATCTCACTTTTATGGATGGGTGACAAGAGGAAAGCCATTTATGAAAGAAAACCATATGAAGTCCCGTTTCCAATTTGCCAAGAGCCACAAAGAGAACAGAGCAAAGCCAGAAGAGCTCTTAAACCTACATGGAAATGGTCTGTGTGGCTAAAGACTTCAAGGGCTTCCACTCCAAAAACAGCATTCACTGAGCTTTCTGTAGGAGTTTGCTGTCCACCCTGGGGAAATAAACTAAAAAAAACAACAATACAGATGGCGCTACACTCTAATCATCCACAGCTGAGAAGTGCAAATGATGGAGAGTTTTTTTTTTAAATAAGTGGATGACAGCTATGTTTTATTTGCAAAGCTGCATGTTTTTTTTTCTTGCATGAAAAACCAACAACAGAAGTAGATCTGATATGGTGAGACAGAGAGGAATGGATAAAAAACAGAGTGGAAATTTTGATGAGATCAAGTGATTCAAGGAGCTCTGCTTCCACATTGAATAGCTGCCTTTGGCTTATTCTGGAGCAGTTTGATAGATATCCTGTCTCCATTGGTTGAACAAGTATCCGTCACAGTGCACCACGGTTAAAGGCTTAACAAATTACAACTTTGACCTGAGCACAATACAAGCTCCACCAGGCTCTTTGTATTTCTGCTGTGTTCCACTAAAGCTTGCTTTTTTTCTCTCGTAAATTTTCTCTTTAAGCTTCTTGTTAGAAAACAGTAAGTTGTGCAAAAAGAACTGAAGTATTTAACAGTTAGACATGCGCATTCAAAAATTTAGAAAGGGTTACATTAAGTTCGCCTTTCAAGATTGTAACGCACACACTCCTGAAGTGTCACCTTAAAGTCGAATATCCGGCACACAATTTAGGTTTGTGACTGTAATAAGTCTCATTTTGGAAAGTTTAAGGGATATGAATACTTTTGCAAGGTGCTCTATTACCACTGTCTATCATGTGTTCATGTCATCCTCAAACCCACACACAAAAAAACATGCTACCTTCTCCCCATTGGGGGAGATTTGCAGTCTTTCTCTTAAAAAAAAACACTTTGTATTTCGGTTGCCAAGAGGTTTATCACTCCTTCGATGAGGCGCTGACATCTCTGCTTCTGCCCCATTGCAGGAAACTCCACAGTGAGGCATTGGCATGTACCCTTTTCACAGTGTTGCGCATCTATTGACAAGGGAGTTGCGAGACTTCACCGCCTTCCACCATTGTATCCCTGCATTCTCACTCATCCATCTGTATGAATATGGTTTCCTGATATAAAGTGTTTATCTTCCTTCTTAATGGGTGCAGATCAATGCTGAGCAGATTAGCTGCATCCTCTCAGCACCACCATGCAGGCGCCTGAACCAGACAGCACTTACTGCCATAGCAGGAGATGGTACACCCATAGGTCCCGGGCAAGAAAGAACTGTTACAACGGCCTGGTAATGGACAGAAAGGCCCATTAGTCCACTGGATTCTCAGCGATCGCTCGCTACTTAGCGCCACTCTAAAACCACACCTTTATGCTTAATGGAGACGACTCTGGTTACAGTTCAGTTCCCATTCCTTCTTAAGGAAGGAAACTATATCTCAGGATGGAGCACCACTCAGCTAGTCACATCCTGTAACGGAGAATGAGATCAAATTGTAGGACTTCATGAATGGGGCAAGTAGAGATGTGACCCAAGCCAAGATTTTCCGCAGGGTTTGGGGAATATTTTTTGTAGCAAACCAGCCTTACGTTGATGTAATTACATGATATCAGATTTTCACCCTGCCCCCAAAAATATTTGTTTGCCTGCTGTTTTGCAAGTTTGCATACTCCACTTTAAAAATCAAACTGAAATTAGTACTGTTCACTTCTTTATAAGAGACAAAATAGCAACCAAACCAAAAAAAATAACAATTAACTGAGTGAAATAAGCATTTGATACAGAAGTGAAACCCATTGAGATATGTCCTGCAGTTCGTCACACATCTCATGAGGGATTTTTGGTTAACTCTTTTTCAGGAATTCTCTCAATACTTTAAGTTTCTTAGCTGCTGCTTGGCCACCATATTGAAAATATATTCCTAAACCACTCCACAACCTTAATGTGACTCTTCTTTATCCATTTCTTTCTTGCCTTGGTGTTTTAGGTTACATTCACATTGAGAAACCCATCCACAGACCATCTTCAGTATTCTGGATGAGGGAAGAAGATTCTCACTGAAGACATTCCATCCCCTAATTTCTCCGTCTATTGGCTGATCGTTGTGGTAACCCTAATCCTGTACACGTAGCTGAAAACATCAGTTGAAAAGCATAATGTTCCCACATCTGAGCGAATTGGGATAGCGTCCTTCAAGTCTGTCAGCACTTCTATTCCTCCAGAAATAGCAGGTTAACTAGATGCCTATCACATCCTCCCGATCCTTTGAATCATTTAAATGTTCACTGGTAAACCTAAGGCAAGTCTGTAGAAATGGCTTCTATTTCAAGCCACTGTGGTTCAGTGTGTTACTAATCGTGCCTTTGATTAATGCGGTCCTAGGTGCCTTCAGACCATTAACAAGCTCCTCCTAGTTAGTTGTGACCTGATCTCTTCCTTTCCTCCGCATCGTCCTCGCCCCACGAGGACGGATCTTGCGTGAAGCTCCAGGCTGAGTGAGACTTCCCGCTGTTCATATTTCACATATCTCCAATTTTAAATAGTATTAGCAACAGTTGTCACTTTCTCCCTCTTTGTCAAGCTTTTGACAGCTCTTGGGTTTTGCCTATGTTGGCGGAGAGGTTGTAAGGGAAGACATTGATTTCCCCACACAAAGTGTGCTTAATAAACAAAACAGATCGAGGTAAAAAGTATCTGTAACGGATTGAGTGATTGATTTTGGTGAAGACAACCTATCTGTGGGAGTCAAAACTGACTGGGTTGTTGGGCAACGACTAATTACTTTGCAAAATGACAGGCAAATCAATTTTTAATTTCCATGTAACGGGTGTGTCCTCAATAAAATCAAGCTACTTCACAAATCTGATTATTTATTCCTTTACAAGTGAGCAAACCTGGAATATCAACAGCGGATGAAATGGTTATCATCCCCCCATGTTTGGGACTCTCTAAGATAAAGTTCTGACTGCAGAGGGTATAAGTAGTTGATATTTTAACTGCAAACGATAACTCTTATTTGGTCGTCTCTCTGTACCAACTACAAGACTAGATTTTCCCTAAGGCTTTAGCAAACTACTACTCTGAGGAGGATCTTCCTGCTTTACAAAAATGTAGTAGCATTTCATGCAAGCATCATCAGTGAATTTGTTTTGGGTG